ACAGATAACCACTAACGCAACATCTCAAAAGCAACATATTTATCAGGGCCACATCAGAAATCCACTCCCTACCTCGTCAAACGAGTGAGGGGTGTTGCAATGTTGGAGAAGTCTTGAATGAATCTTCGATAATACCCGACTGTTCTTAAGAAATTCCTGATCTCTGAGGAAGATTTCAGAACTTTCCACTGCATCACGGCCACGATCTTCTTCGGATCGACCAAAATCCCATCTTGGTTAACGAGATGTCCCAGGAACTGGACTTCTCGTAACCAAAACTCACACTTTGAGAACTTGCCACACATTCGTTTTCGCCTCAATACTCCCAAAAGCTCTCGAAGGTGCTCCTCATGCTAATCTCTGGTAATGGAATACACCAAGATATCATCGATGAATATAATGACTGATCGATCAAGCATCAGACTTTATACAAGATTCATCAAATCCATAAACAATACAGGCACATTGGTGAGCCTAAAGAGCATAACCACGAACTCATAATGCCAATAACGAGTCTAAAACGCTGTCTTCTCCACGTCCTCCTCTCTCACCCTCACCTGATGATAACCCGACCTCAAGTCGATCTTGGAGAACCAAGATGCACCCTGCAATTGATCAAAGAGGTCGTTAACATGCGGAAGTGGATAACGTTTCTTTATTGTCAACTTATTCAACTCATGGTAATCAATGCACATCCGGTGTTAATCGTCCTTCTTCTTGAAGAACAATATCGGTACTCCCCATGATGAACTAATCGGTCTAATTAACTGCATTCCTAGCAGCTCCTGAAGCTGAGAAGACAACTCCTGTATCTTGGGCAGTACCAAGCAGTACAATGACTTCGCAATCGGAGCCACACTTGGCACTAGATCAATCCTAAACTAAACTTGTCTCTCGGGAAGCACACCAGGTAGCTCCTATGGAAATACATCATCAAACTCTCTGACAACTGGCACATATGAAATTGAGACCTGTCCCCCAACCCTAGTATCAACCATGTAGGCAAGATAACACGTACACCCATGTTGAATATACTGCCGATCCCTGGCTGCCGAACAAAATCTTGAACCAACCCTAGTACCCTCTTCATAGATGATCAGTTCTCCCCCACTTGGAGTTTTAACTATCACCCACTAACCCTCGCAGGCGATCATAGCCCCAAACCTACTCAACCAATCCATCCCCACTATCACACAAATACGCACATCCCCCATGGGGATCAGAATCAAATCAATCGGATAAGACACCCCTAAGATCTCTAATACACAACCCTGATACACTCTAGATGCAGAAAACCCGTGTTAGTTGGCAATATAAACCCGCAACAGACACTCCAACTTGCTAAGGGGCAGACCAAAATCCCTACTAAAAGATGAGACACAAAGGACCGACTCGTGCCCGATTCAAATAACACAAAAGCAGGAAAAGAATTCACTAGGAATGTACCTATTAGAAACATAAACGTAAGAATACCATAAAATAATTGATTGCATAATAAATAGAAACATATAAGTCACAACTTATGGTGCCGCCCAAGCCTCGTCTGTCATGAGCAGAAAAACACAACCTCAAGCCCGTGGAGGCTCCCTCCTTCCCTAGCTTCCATCCTTGATCCTCATATTAGCCGATGTTGGAGCCTGCGTTGGTCTAGCAGTAAGCAAAGGGCACTGAGCCTTCATATGGCTCACCTGGACACGGTGATAGCAAATCCTAATGCTCGGTAATGGAGCTTGTTGACTGTGGTCCTTGGCATAATACCCCTCCTTTCCACACTTGTGGTAGCCAAAATAAGATTGACAGATACCATCATGAACCGCCATACTTTCCACAAGTGCGGCCCCTCTGCCCTTTGGGCCTCTAATCAGCGGGCTTGAACTACTTCGCCGCAGGTTGTGTCTGAACCGAGGCCTGCCAGTACTCTCCCACTTGGAGCCCCATCTCCATCTGCCGCCTCCTAGCGACCTCCAGTAACTTCACAAGTATACCATAGATATGTGTGGATATCTGTCTTGACAATGCTCAAGTATCGGGTCATCTGAGCTTGCTCAGAAGCAGCAAACTTACGGAAAAGCAATGCTATCTTATTAAACATCTTGATGTTCTCCGTAACCGACTCAATACCCTACCACAGATCCAAATAATCCTGGGCTCATCTCTCCTTCTCAACCAAAGGAACATATCTCGAGCGAAACATATCAAAAACCTATTCCCATGTGACAACAAATCTCTGCTCCGGAGTGTATGAACCGGTAACCAGTCTCCACCAATCCTTTTCTCCTAACCGAAGAAGGTTCAGAGCGCACTTGACCTTTTGGTCAGCTGGGTAGGATCAAGTAAAGAAACATCCCTCCACATCGGATAGCCATCTCATGGATATGATCAGATCCTACACTCCATCAAACACTCGGGGCTTCATATTATCATAGTCCCCTTACTGGAAGGCTCTCCCTACCAATTCCCACAGCAGCGACGGTCGCGATAGCTGCAGCAGCAGTAGCCTATGAAAGTGCAGCGTATCTATCATTGAAGAACTCCATCACAACGGTCTTGATAGACCCAAACAGATCTGGTATTAGCCCTTGGATAAGAGAAACAACCTCATCATGAATCATCTCCCTGACCTAGTCCTCAGTCAATCCTGACTCATTCTGGCAACCCGCTCCGGCTCCTGATTCGGATCCTGACTCAAATCGCCTCGTAAGCACCATACTAAAAATAAACGAAAAAAATATATCATATGAGGCACATATCATACCATAAGAACCATTCCACAACAAAACTCTAGAGGTTGTAACTTTCATACTATGCATATGGGTCATGTGCTTCCCGTAGTACGAGCTCATACTACATTCCACACCGACCCATATTTGTCTTAGAAGATCATTACAACAAACCTAACAGCACACACTAGAATACACATATACCCTGTCCTCACTTCTTAGAGAAAGGCTACACATTCCTCAACTGGTCAATTGACCCCACAAAACTCATTCATGAGACTTCCACCAACCATGCAACACTCGGGTATGCTAATTATACATAACATTGGACCCTATAGACAGTTGAATATTAGATTCTACCCTAAGATCTTCATCAAACAAGAACAATACATATGGCTAAACCAAATATTCTTTGGCTATAGAATCTTAGTTATGTACAACTATGATGCATACACTAAGAAAATATAGTAATGATGTCAATTCCATACAAGAAAGAAGCCCTAGGCTATCAGGCATCAAATATTAGGCAATTCTATCATGCAATTCCTGAAGATCCCTAGCTTATCATTAGTATGTTGTTCTATCACAAACATAATAAAAAATAATAATGTGGGTAATTTAGGGTATTCTTTCTTGCTTTGTCTGAGCGTACACATCACATCCTTCATTGGTTACTTTTGAAAATAATTTTGAAAATCAGTTTAAAAACTTTTGCAGTTCCCTATTTTGAGTATGGATTCCCACGAATGTTCATCCAATTCTCTCAAACCAAGGCTCTGATACCAATTTGTAACATCCCAAAACTTACAATAAATTTTAACTTTTCAAAATGACCAAAAGCCATCATTGTTTACAAAACTAGTTTTTCTTAAATATATTAGAGTATCCCAAAATCTAAATAACAAATTTCGAAGGAATGTGTATGATCATGCCTTCGCTCTCCCACGATCCTTAGAAGTACCTGAAACAATAAACTAAAACTATAAGCCAAAACTTAGAGAGATCCCCCCAAAAATACCACCATACAAACATATAATCAAATATATAATGGGTCCACAACCTCCTGATTCGATTAGCCCTATCCAATAACCTTACTATTGGAATGCACCGGCCCACAACCTTACGATTGGAATGCCCAATACATAACGGGTCTACAAACTCCTGGTTGGATTAACCCTGGCCCACAACCTTCCAATTGGAATGCCCTAGCCTACAAAGTAGTACAGTCTCAACCCCACCATACCATGTCGATAAGCACATAACAAATAACATTATCCAATAATAGGTAATCATATAACCAGTTAACAAACTAGCAGGCAGATCTACAGATCACTACTATATAGCAACATCCTATATACCAGGATACATAACTAAAGGGGCCAACATTGGTGTCATCGACCCACAAGAACAATAAGGAAACTTACCTCACAGTCTGAAGAATAGTTGAGCAATATATTGCTCCAATACCCGACTCTACATGTAACCTATTCAACAGATAAAGACCAAGGCTTAACTACAATTCAAAATACCCTTAAGTTAATCTTGGTCAACCTTGGTCAAGGTAAGTGTCAAAGTCAAAGTCAATGGCCTTAGTGACAAATATCCAACCTCACGTCATGAACATTGATTTGTCTACTCCCACTCTTTCCTTTAAATACAAAAAATCAAGGTTTTTGGTCTTCAGATTAGTCTCACGTCATGAACATTGGATTGCTCACATCGTTAGCCTCAAAATGATTCACGGGTCCAATTTATTTCTCATGGCATGAGCAAGAATTCCTCACGTCGTGAGAAGGGCCAAAATTGAGAGCTTTTAACACAATAATAATAATAATAATAATAATAATAATAATAATAATAATGTGCACACTCGAGTGTTAGATGTGCAACTATGATTCTTCTTAGCATCTCCCAAACAACTTCAAAACTTGCCTCCAAAATTTAAAATAAATTTAAAATAGATAATTAATAGATTGATAAGTGGCAGCATATTAATTAAAATGTATAATATGATAATACATGTACAAAATTATAATTTTATTAGTACGGAGATATTAACAAAATCTATACGATATTATTTATGTTACTTCTTACGTAGGTTAGCGAGCCAATGGCCTCGTACATCTGCCTTCCATGCACCACTTACTCTTCCTAAATAACACTTCTTTTCATTCTCTTTCTTCTTTCACTTTCTCTCCATAATAACCCCTTCCATCCCCTAATCCCAAAAACCAATCCAAAATCACCAATCTCCACCGGTGTCGCTACCCTCCACCACTCATGTCGATATCACCGATCTTCCTTCTCATAATCGCCGCCACAGTTCTCAGTCCAGTCAAAGCAACGAACACCAGGAAGCTCATCTCCACCGACACAGCATCTAGCGGAGCAGAGGATAACCAGATCAAGTGCGGTGGCTGTCCTTGCAACCAGCCTTGCTACACTGCTGCACCACCACCACCACCGCCGCCCAAGAAGCCATCTCCAACTCCTGGCTTCAACTGCCCTCCACCGCCCTCATACATTTACATAACTGGCCCACCGGGGAATCTGTATCCCGTCGACCCTTACTCCCACTCATCGGCCAACCGCCGTGTCTGGGTGGCTCCTCCGCTTCTTGTTCTCGTTGGATTACTGGGTATGCTTGCTTTTTAGTAAACTCCATAGAATCAGTCTCGGAATTTGAGGCAAAGGGACACCGAAGACGGAGATTCTGATTCCAGGAGAGAAAAGAAAGCTTTTTTTGTGAATCACAGTCACAACAGTTATTTTCTAAAAAATAAAACTATTTATAATAATTACGAAATAATTATATAGTTTTTTACGTTCTTTTATACTTTTGGGTGTTTACTAATTCTACGTGAATAGGGTTATATCTAATCCTAAAGTCGATGATCACTTTCATCTTCGTAGTCAAAGTGTCTTCTTATAAGTACCAATTAAAAATAATTTATCTGTGTTTACTGTTATGCTGTTTCATTGATTATCCTTTAGTTTAACATATGCTTATTTTCTTTTATATTTTTAGATTCTTATAGGAAATTCAAACCCTGATGATATATATATATATATATATATATATATATATATATATATATATATATATATATATATATATATATATATATATATATATATATATATATATATATAGTCTAATTGCAATAATTAAAATTTTTAAGAAAAAAACAAACAACTCGAATTATAGAAAAAGATTTGTTCGGGAATACGAGCCCAAAGCTTTTATTTTACTAAAAGAATTGCAATTGTTTCAAATAATTTTTGAAAGTTTTATGAACTTTTAACTTTTGTGTTTTATATTAGTTTATAAATTGTAACAAATTACATCAACTTTTGCGAATAGTACTTCACAAATAAAATCTTTAAATTTTGGTTTACAGCTTCAACGTTTCTAGCATTCAACTACAAACTTCTAGATACCAATTAATTATCAAAGGGTTTTTAATGGTATTAAATATAGCTCTCATATCTTAAGGTTGAAGGTTTAAATCTTATTTGATACATATGTCTAATTAAAAGTAATTTAGAAGTAGATTAGATTTATTGTACCAAAAAACATCAACTACCAAAGGGATTGTAGCCCAGCGGTATTAGGTGGTGCCCTCCCTCTTTGAGGTCGAGGGTTCAAGTCCCGTCGTGGACATAGGTGGAATAGGTGTTGTTAGCTTAGAAGTAGATTAGATTTGCCAGTTCAAAAAAAAAAAAAAAAAAAAAAAAAAAAAAAAACATCAACTAATTTTACCAAAATATCTATATAATTAAGTAACATGTTTTTACAAATTACCGAGTTTTATTGTTTTGTGAATAAATATAGTGATTTTGCCAAGTTTTAATCTACTCATATATTTTTTTCATGATATAAAATATAATAATGTTTAACTTGACATGTATTCTAAGAAAACTCTCTCAATAAACTTTTCAGATTATATGTAATATTGAGAATATTGAAACAAAAAAAAAAGTAAAATAAATAAATAATCCTAAACCAAATCTGTAATCTTTATAATATTTGTATCATAATTTCAATAGGACATAGAAGAAAGTCTTGTGAGTATCCCTTTATTTGGCAGGAGAATCCAAAATAAAACATGATCTGTTTCTTTATGAAAAAACTTTGAGATTACGAGTCCTATATACAGTTATATTAATCTATATGTAATTAAAAAATTATTCTTATAAGATAATTATATTAAATGTCAAATAAATAATGGTTTATATTCGTTGGGTTGTAAAGTGAAACAAATGTGCCCATAATTTCCAATCACTAGCATATTCAACCAGCATCATTTGCTTACCCATTTCTTCGATGGTTGTAAAGAGAAACCAAATGCATGCCTCTTTAGTTTTATTGTCATTTAAATTAAACCAAAAAATATACCATGAAAATAAATTATTTTGACATATAAATTACATTTTATAACATGGATGAACAATAGTTGTTCTTTTTGTTGTGAGTGGTAACAAGTAATATTCGAAATCTTTATAATGTTTTTTAAGAAAAATTAATAATTATTAATGTACATCAAAGCTACGATTTGATTTGTTCTATGCGAAGATCAATATTTGTGTGGTTGAAGAGAAAATAAATTTTGTGGTGATTTTATAATTTTTAGAAAATAGGAGGTAAATCGTAATGGTAAATGGTAAATAAATAAATAAAAGTTGTAAAATAAAGAATGTTCCAGGATCAGAGTTTGTTGTCAGCTGAGTCAGTGGTTGGTGAAAAAAGTAACACGGGACCCATCGATGATGTGTACAATAACGTCTCATATGTGCTCTCAATCGTACCCTTACATTTTTTGATTTTCTATATATATATATATATATATATATATATATATATATATATATATATATATATATATATATATATATATATATATATATATATATATATATATATATATATATATATGAGATTGGTTCATTTGGTTGAGAACTCAAAGTTCCGAAAATCCGAAAACTAAAAATGGAACGTTTGATCAAAAGCAATTTTTTAAAAACATGATCGTCATCTTACCAATCTCATTTAATGTTTAATTTTTTTGTGCTATTTAATATATTAATATAAATGTCTAAAAACTAACAAAATAACTCAAAATTTCGGATTTAATTTTTTTTTAAATAATTTTTTATTTTTTAAAAAATTGGAGATTTTTTAATTTTTTTCAAAAAACATGAATTTTTAAAGAAAAAAATGAAAGAAAGTTTTTTTTTTTTTTTTTTTTAAATGCATCTTTTTTTCAAAAAAAAACTACATTTAAAAAAAATGTATTTTTTATTTAAAAAAAACTACATTTTTTTTTCAAAAAACTGCTTTTTTTTAGAAAAACTATATTTTTTTCAAAAAAAAAAAAAAAACAAAAAAAAATCTACAATTTTCATAAAAAGAAGTGCAATTTTTTTTTTTCAAAACTACATTTTTTTAACAAAAAAATCAACGTTTTAAGTGCATATATGCATATTTTTTCAAATGCATATATGGATATTTCTTATACTATAATATTCGTAATTAATTATAAAAATCTCATTTTTATTAATCAATCTATAAACATAATACAAGTATTTTATTCGATACAAAATAAAATTTAAAAAAACTACAAAGATTCACAATGTTATCATTTCTTCGTATCAACATTTCTATATTTTCTTCAATTATCACTTTTCACCTCTTCAATATTTTCAACAAATTCTTCAAAACCTACAAGAAAATTTAAAAAAAAATTGATTAATGCAAGAATACTCAGAAGAATGCACAAGTATATATCATGTAAGATTCACATGTGATTATATCATGTAAGATTCAAATGTGATTATATAATGTGATTTTCATATGTGATTGTATCTTTTAAGATTCAAATGTGAAATTCACTAGAAATTTTTTTAAAAAAAAATTAGCAAATACCACTCATATAAAATGCATGTATGCATATTGACGTAATTCATATGTGATTCACTAGTGATTTACATGTGAGTCACATGTAATTAATATGTTATTCACTTGTGATTTACATGTGAATCACATGTAATTGATATGTGACTCACTTATGATTTACATTTGATTAATATGTGAATTACATGTAATTTATATGTGAATCATATATGAATTACATGTGATTCACATATGAATACATGTGATTCACATATAAATCATATATGAATTAGTTGTGATTCACATGTAAATCATATGTTATTCACATGTAATTCATATATGAATCATATCTATTTCATATATGATTCACTTGTGAATAACATGTGATTTACATGTGAATCACATCTAATTCATATATAATTTATATGTGATTCATATGTGAATATCATGTGATTTACATGTGAATAACATGTGATTCATATGTGAATCACATGTAAATAAGAACAAAAATTGCAAGAGAAAAGCTTTTGGGAACAAAATTGAAAAAAAAAAGCAACATTCAGGGACCAAAATTGTAATTTACTCTAAAAACAAATTTGAATCTCATTCTCACCACTTCAAACGTGTCAAGCAACCTACCAAGCTGGTGGGCATGCTGCTCCTCATCATTCACACCATCCTGCATTATGTACTCAATGAAAATCTTTTACTGACTGTAAAGTCAATACTAGAAGGGTATTTTAGTAATTTTGCACTTTGAGGAAATTAAAAAAAGAAGAAGAAAAAGAGCTACCTTTTCTTTTGATATTCTGCTAAAGCATTCATAAGTTTTTCTAAACGAAAAGCGCGAGCTGCAGGCATTATTTGACACCTAGTATCTTGAACTGGTGCATGAAGAGACATTGCTAGGTTTATATTTTGTAAGTCACCATGAAGCTTGTTTATTGCATGAATTATTCCAACCTACAAGAGATTATGAGAATGATAGATATGAATCCAGAAATGTTCTTAAAAAGACTAATATTGAGGATGTAAAATGGAGCAAACAAAGCAAACCATTGAGACAATAATTTTCTTGGGTGAAAGCTGAAAAGGGAATGTTTTCATTACTCGAATAGCTTCAACTAAAGCATTGCAGTTGTTTAATGGCTCTCCCATTACCTGAATACAAGATGATGGTATCAGTTGTAGTGACATAAATTTCAAGGAAAACAAGTTTTTTTTTAGGTATTTACCACGGAAACAACATTGCAAATGGGTGATAATCGAGCAGGGCCGGTCCAAGACATTCTGAGGCCCGGGGCAAAATAAAAATGGGGCCCTTCATATAATTTTTTCTTGGATAAAATAGGATAACACCTAAAAATTATTATTAATAAAAAGTAACTTTATTAATTAAAATTTTATTAATCTCTTTAGATATTGATATACAATTAAATAAAGTGTTTGTTAATTTACAGCGATCAAGCAATCTATGTGTTAACAAAGTTCTTATCCACTTTTGATGTTATGCAACTTGAAAGATTTCTTTACATTACAAAGTAAATCATGGTTTTGAATATGTATGATCATCATATTTCTGGGTTTAGAGTTATGTAGTTGTATGGGTTTTTAATTTTTGTTGAATCTAACTAAATGATGTTAAAAGCAAGGTCTTTAAAGGAAATTGGGATTATGCAGCAAAAGTAGTTATCCAACTCAAAGAAGAAGACTTAACCCCCTTTAAAATGGGGCTTTACTCTTTTCTTGGAAACAACATTACCATCACTCTAATTTCTCTCCTCCCCGCCTTTTATCCACCTATGAATTGTCTTCCTCCATCACCATATCATGCACTATATGTATGTTATCCCAATACAACAGAAAATTCTGAAGTTTAGAAAGATAGAGATATCCAAATTAAGAAGATTAACATTCAGAAATCCAAAGTAAGCAAATGAAATTCAAGAATTGTCTCTAACTTAACCAAGTTAAAATTCGATTTTGTCTCTAACTTGCACAACTTCATAAAAAAAATAAATTTTAGAAAAGAATTGAAATTTTCAAGAAGGCTAGAACTTATAGAGATTCACAATCAGATTATTCATAAATCAATTTATTCTCTAACCCTCCATTCTAAAAGACTGAAACTTCAAACTTCAAACTTCAGGCGATTGAGAGAGAAATCCAAGTGAGACAGCGACTGTGAATTCAAGAAATCCAAGGAGAACCGGAGAAGCAATCAGACTCGCGATTCTAAAGTAATCGTTCGATTCACTGAATTTCAATTCAAATTCTATTAAAGTGTTGTGGTTGTGGACGAATTCAAAAACAATAAAAAGAAGGATAAGAAATCGGATTAACTTAGAAATCATGAATAAGAAACAGAAGAAGGATAATCGTTGCTTCTGAGAAGACGTCGTTTGGATTTTCCATATGAAATCGAGTGTTGAATAGTTACGATGCCTTGGAAGTTGGATGCACGTTAGGTCTACGTCTCGCTCCCTCCTACTCTGTCTTTTGGATATATACGTGCTGATTAGAGTATTGGGCTGTGAAAAAATAGTCCAACTGGCTTAAAATTAATGGGTTGATAGTATATAACCAATATAACAAGTATAATATAGGGCCCTTTGGCATTTGGGGGCCCAGGGCGGTCGCCCAACTTGCCCATGCCAACGGGTCGGCCCTGTAATCGAGGAGCATGTACTAATTGTTCTACAATCTCTCATGTTGAGAAGTTGCTCTTGAATCCCATACTTCCAGTTGCACAGAATGTGCAACCCATTTTGCATCCAACCTGTTAAAGAGAATGATTCACATACATGTGTTGTGATATAGATCAAAATGTCGATTGAATCTATCAACTGAAGAACTCAAATCAGGAAAGAATTTCGGTTTGGAAGAAATGGATAAGGTAATGGTTTACCTGTGAGGATATGCATAAGGTAGATCTTGGACCACCAGGACGAGGTTTGCCTCCATATTTCCTTAAAAAGGTAAAAAAAAAAAAAAAATAGCAAGAGTACCTGAAGTTGAGGTAGATTAGATCGCATGAATGGATTAGTTTCTAATTCTTGTTCAATGGTTGATGGAATACAACAATTAAGCATGAATTATTGATGATCAATGACAATTAAGCCTAGACCATTGGATGATTTTGGATTCCATGTCGATTGTGTTGGAATAGTGTCTAAGGCTGCAACTATATTAGGCAAGTATTTGATCCGGTTGTGTATGGTCCTTTTGGGTTGCCTTCACCATAGCAACTTGATGGATGATTTGTTAAGAGAGAGTAAATATTATAAGGAATAATATATGGTTATTTGATTAATATAAGTCATAAATTAATTGGAATAAATTTGGTGACTTAAAGAGATTAATTAAATAAAGGGGTATAAACTGTCAATTGTTTGATAGTTAAACTTTAGACTATAAATCCATTGGGATATGCTTTGAACGAATTCTATGAGATATAGGATAGCTAAAATCGTCCAAAGGCTTATCTATGGAATGGATTTGGATAGCCTTAAGAGAAGATTATCCAATTAAGGTTTAGGTTGTAACCCTTAAGGAGTCTACAAGTATAAATAGACCCTAGGGGTGAGGGAATTTAACACACCATATAAAGTAGAGATACTCTGGCCGAATTCCTCCGCTCTCCTCTCTCCTAAATCATCTTGCTTGCTATTGGTGTTTGTAAGCCATTAGAGGAGTGACATTTGTGATTCTAGAAGCTCTAAGACAACAAGATCAACAAGGAACTCAAAGGTATGATTCTAGATCTGTTTCAATGTTGTTATTTAACTTAATTAGCCATTAGAAGTCTTGGATTCAAAGCATGTTTAATTAGAAAGCCTAGATCCGAGCATTAGGGTTTTGCATGCGCACATAGGAAAGTTCTTATGGCTAAAACCCATCAGTGGTATCAGAGCCTAGCTTGGTTTTCTTTAAATTGTTACTTGATTAACTGAAACAAACCTGCAAAATTCGATTTTGGGTTTATGAGTCATGTACTCGGCGAGTAGGCCTGTACTCGGCGAGTCCGGGCGTCTGGATTAGGCAAAACCGGGATTTTTTCATGTTTATCTTATGGAAACTTACCTTAATCATATTAGATCAACCCTAATCCGATTTTTTGATATATATGACTATTATCTTGATCTAATTAAAGATATTTATCATCTAATAAAATATTTAATTTCCTTATGTGATAAATGATTAATTATTTTGATAATTATCTTAAAAGAAATCTTGGATAAATCAAATAAAGATAATTAGGATATTAATTGTTAATTGGAATTATTTGTTATTTGATCCTTCATGTTTTAAATGTTTAAAACCTACCCTAAAGTTTTGAAATTTATATTTGTGATTAAAAGTTTTAATTTAGACAACTTAAATTTCAAACCCTAGATTTTAAAAAGGTTTTAAAATACAACCCTATACTAATATGATATTACTAGAATAATATATATATATATATATATATATATATATATATATATATATATATATATATATATATATATATATATATATATATATATATATATATATATATATGTATAACTTAAATTTCATTCACGAAGCCGATCTATAAGGTGGGTATAAGGTTGCGGCCTATAAAATGGCGCTTAATGGGTGTACACTCACACCCACCGCTTGCTTGATTGGTGGAGGGTCGTTAGCCGAACGGGTAGGATAGGGCAACCTCATCCTCTCATTAAAAGTATAATAAGAAATACAAAGTAACTACACGTTTTAAAAATTTCCCAATCTTAGTTACTTTAGGAAAAGTGAATTGATGCAATCCCATGAAATTACACTTTTCACCTTGCTAAGAAGTTAGTGGAGCGTGTGTGGTTTACCGACACACTAATTGGTTCTAAGCGAAGGTGGCAGAGGGTGATTCATTGTTTATCATAGTTCGATGGAGCGTGTGTGGTTTACCGGCACATCGAATAGGTGATCGTTACAATGAAGGCACCATGTGAATTTGCATGGTAATTCACAACCGCTTTGTGATCCTCGGCATCCCAGTCACAAACAAGAGGGGCATATCGAGATTTAAACATGCCATTGAATAGTTTCAATGAATCTCACCCGAACCTAGGAATTCTCAAAAACACTTAGGACTAATAGTTTAAGTTTTGTAATGGAGAATTAGTGAATCGTCATTCACTTACCTTCAATTTATTTGCATGTTAGATTACGGCATCCCTTTTCTAGTATGTAAATGTTATTGTTGGATCCTAACCCTAATTTTTCTTATTGAGTGATAACACTTATGCTCCCACTAGCTCTGACATATTTTCAAAAATCTGCTGGACTTCTGAAATTTAGATTCATACACCCTTTCTTAGATAGCTCACATGTGTGTCTAAACAATTTTCAGAACTATGAAAAGGGATGCCGTAATCATAGTCTCAATTGCTTAGGCATTTGCCATTTCTCACAAGTCCATGTTAGTGTGCCGGTTAACCACACACGCTCCACCAACGACTTTTGAAAAATGCAAATAACACAATTGCTATCTACGTAAAATCTACTTAGTGAAAGCGTTTCCTCACCATCATTTTCATGAATCGGAGAGAAACCTTATGACACTTAGATTTTATAGTGTATGAGTTCCTATCCATGCGAATTTGTCAAAACCATAATCACAAGATAAGGTTAGTGACAAATTCAGCCCTACATGGATTAAACTTATTCAATCTTAGTTTCTTGTCACCTTGGTAACACAAGGCCCACCAATGCTTCCAAGTTGAACTCTGATAACTCACATGCAAATTCAACTTATTTGAAGTAGGTACAGAAATAATAATTATGTCAACACGATAGGTTGCAAACCTTAAGTCGTGTGCTAGTGATAAATTACAGGTTTCACTCTTGATTAAATCTTGAAACTCTTTCAGGACCTTTAAGGCTCCCACTGTCCCCTTGACATATAAGTTTTCCTAGTCAAGAACCATTCCTTGACAAAACAAATATTCAAGGGATAGTGCGGATTCTTATCAAGACTAACACTTCACACAATTGGTCTTAGTTGGTCTTTGTCTCATCCAAGACATCACAACTTACCAATCTCAAATGTACAAGAGTAGAAACATTTCACACTACATTTGATAAGTGTTTTAAACCTTACTTTATGTCACTCAATGTTACAATCTTGGAGTATGACTCTAAGAATTGTTTTGGAACGAAGTATGACTCATCTCCTTGATCTTAACCAATCCAACAATTCATGACCTCTCTTCTTAGCCATAACAATGCACTAAGACGTCCTTAGAGTATGAATTTGTGATAT